AATCCCGTACTCCTCGACCAGAAATCAAAGTTGGTGTCGTACACTTCACCATAGACAAGACAATCTCCGATTCAAACACAAATATCGGCATGGAAGCATACCCCTTTAGCCCAAACCACCAGAAGATCAAACCGAAGCCCCATAGCCAAAAAACCCGGCTTAAATCTTGCACCAGATGATCGGTAAACCGATCTGCAAGCACCAAATCACCCAAACACACCACACAAACAGAGAAAATAACAAAACTAATAAACACACAAAGGCACCTAAAAGAAAAAACAGGAAACAACTTAAAAACTAAGACACCGAACGAAACCCTAACAACCCACCCCGACGCCAAACCGAGCCCCACCACCAACGCTCCGAGGTCCACCAACCTAACCCACAAACCGCCGGATATAAAAGCACGGACCGCTGAGACTCGCTCGATAAGCCCAAACCACACACACCCCTGAGCCGCGGCACCGACGGCCCTACACGAGGGACTCAGAACGGCCCTACACGAGGGACTCAGAGGGAGATAACTCACCCTCACCCTCCCCGTTCTCGAACTCAACGTCGTTACAACAGCCAAAGAGGTGGAGCATAGGCGCGGCAGGGAAGCGGAGAAGAAGTACGGCGACAAGCCGGGCCGGTGATGAACAGAGGCGGCGGATGAAGAGGAGCGGCGCAAGTTGTAAGGCTGAAAAGACAAAAAACCAAAACGGGAAAGGAAAAAAACAACCTAAGGGAATAGATCGGAGGCTCGCCGACGCTTTGGCGTGGGCGGTGAGCCACACGGCCGCCGGCGAGCCTCATGCCCGGAGTAAAAATGGGAAAAAACGGAGGTTTTTTTTGGAGAGAGAGGGCTGGAGAGAGAATTTTTCTTAGTCGGTGTAACTCATATATTCGTTTTAATTAGTGTTCCTTTTTTTTTTTTTTTTTTTTTTTTTTTTGTTTTTTTAACTCCTGTGATCTTTTTATGTAATATATTGCAAATATGTAAAGGATTGATGAATTTATATGCTACGGATCGGATCAAGTAGAGATAAGATAGGAAAATCATATGTAGTACTATCAATTTTTTTCTCTTTTGACTGACATCCAAGATATTTATCTAATATCATATCATTGCACGATTAATTAGCCAGGACACGGGATACCTAGGTTACAAGGGAGAACAACACATGATGTTTTCACAAATTCTATGCTTAAATTACATGGTACTCTAGGTTTATAAATTTTTTGTTATTTTAATATGAATTTCTTGTTATTTTAATTTATATAAGTTATTTTAAAATAACTATATGTTATTTTATATTTGCATGTTGTTTTTTCTTTTCAATATTGATTCTTTCGTTGTACTCCAAGTTTAAAAAATTCATGTTATTTTGATGTGAACCTCTTATTATTTTAATTTATATATATATGTTATTTTTTAAATATATACATGTTATTTTAGTAAATGCATGTTTTTTTTATTATTTATTTAATTTTTTTTATGCATGATGTTGAAGTAAATAGGTAAATAACAACGTATTATTTTAGCAAAACAACACAAGGTTTTAAGCAAAATAAAAAAGATTTATGCAAAATAACTCAAGTATATTGAATATGGAGTATCGTGATTATATAATATTAATTCTCGCCATCCAGAGCACCTCATTTGGAGCCAGAGACTAACATTGTTTCAAGTAATGACAAGAGTAGTAATTCTGATTATAATTCTAGGGATTTTATGGAAATGCCAAAGTTTCTCATATTCAGAAACAAAATTTGTTTAAAATTTATTTCTCATATGACATTTTTGTAAATAAACCAACAACTTTATTTAATTATGGAGCCTACAATAATGAAAAAGTTGTTGATTTATTCACAAAAATACCCCTATGTGAAACAAATTCCGCTTTTTAATATGAGAAACATGAAATTTCCCAGATTTTATATAATATTTTGAGTCTCAATTAGATAGTATGCACTTATTGCTATACTTAAGGGATTTTACTTGTTATTTTATCTTCTTGCTAGTGTTGGGAGGGGCAGTTTATTTTGTTTGATTGTTTATGGTAATAAGGAGCATGAATTCCAGTTTTGCAATTCATGTCGATTAGGAAAATATACTCGTCTTCCCTTTGATAATTCTAATAATCACTAGTAGAAAATATGTAATGGCAAGCGGTTCAAACCCCCTAATGGGAAGCGGTACTGAACCGCTTGCCATTTGTAATGAATGGGCAGCGGTTTTATGGCTATAAAAAATAATTTTTTTTTGGGTGTTTTTCACTAAAATTGATACATGAACAAACTATATGTAAAACCAATAATATTTTGATAAATTAATTGATTGTTGTAACTTGTAAGTATTACATTTCATAAAAAAAAAAATTAATACAAGTAATAAAAATAATACAACAGCTTGATTAAAAAAAAACAACAACAGCTCTTGTTCACTTGCTCCACCACCACCACCCTTCACATGCACCATCACCACCACCGTCCACGCACGCACACTACCACCATCCACCAAATCCCAGCCATTTTCGCCTAAAACGACCCCCACCATCCATCAGATCCCAGCCATTCGCCCACCAAGACCCCCACCAACACTAGATCCCAACCCACTTCGCCCACCACGACCCCACCAAAAACCCCACCAACACCAGATCGGCCTGAAACAAATCAATTCAACCACACATCACCATAAAATTAAAAAAATAAACTTTAAAAAAAATACCATGAATTCCACCCTAACCTCGAAATTGGCTTGAAATTTGGGTTTTAAGGGTCAAATTTGACAAAGAAAACTCTAGATCTAGAGTTTTATGGTCGAATTTGACCTAAAAAACTCAAAAATTATGGTCTAAACTCGAATTTGCTCGAAAAGGATGGTCTTGGCTCGAATTTGCTCGAAAATATGGTCGTGGGTCGAATTTTTCGATGGTCGCACCACCACCGGACTGAGAAGCGATGAAATTAAAACTCATGGAGATGGAGAACGGAGATGAGAGAAGTAAGAGAAGGAGATGGAGGAGAGCTGGAGAGAGTGAGGGCGTGAAAATGGAAGGGAGGAGGAGAGAGAGCGTGAGAAATAGAGAGGAGGAGGAGAGAGAACGTGAAAACTGAGGGGATGAGGAGAGAGAGCGTGAGAAATATAGAGGAGGAGGAGAGAGAGCGTGAGATTTTAGGGTTTTTTTAAACAAATGGCAAGCGGTTCATGTTCCAAACCGCTTGCCATTTACAATTTGGCAAGCAGTTCACCCTAAACCGCTTTCCATTTAAAATTTGGCAAGTGGTTCACCCTAAACCGCTTGCCATTTGGAGCTTCCCATTACATTTATTCTACTAGTGAATACTACAGTTTGTGCTTTTGATATAATACATGCGGATTTATGGACATCTCCTATTCGTAGTTCTCAAGGTCACAAATACTATCTAGTCTTATTAGATGATCATACTCACTTTGTGAGGACCATTCCATTAAAATACAAATCTCAGGCTTTTCAATCTTTTATCAATTTCCGAAAATATGTTAAAACCCAATTTGAACATCAAATTAAATCCTTTCAATATGATGATGGTATCAGAGCCAACGTGACATAGATGTCACGGGTTCAAATCCCATCCACCCCTCCTTCAAAGTGAAATTAATTCGCACTAGGTATAGCTGGGCCTGTGTTGCATCAACATTTCAAGCCCAAAGGGTTTTTTATGTGAGGGGGAGTGATTACAAATTTTTCACTACAATCTAATTAATGTAGGCATAATCCCTGCACCCCATTTAAACGACGTCGCATCTCAATTCTCAACTTCGGTTCACTGCTGCTCTCTACACCCTATTGCTCCTGCAGCACCACATCACGCACCTAACAGACTTCCCAGCCACAATTATGCCATTCCTCACCGCACAAAAGATTGCAGAGAAGCTACTAAGTTTGTATGCGCCTCAACCGACTTCGCTCTATTCATGGCAGGGTTTAATTGTACATCGTAGAATTTGAATTCTTATCTCGTTATCTTTATATTTTTTCAAAAGGAAAGACAATGCAAAGATTAATTCGTGGTATCGATATATTTGATCACAAATTGATTTCCTAACTTGTATTCAATCAATTTAACAAGCAAACTACAAGCCTAATTAAAACAAAAATATTATTACGTAGGATAAATTATAGGAAAATGTTGGGCCCGTATTATCACACGACCCATTGTACTTAGGGCACCAGTCCAAGATCAATAAATCAGCAAGAATACGCAAACCGGCTTGATTGGAATAAACAAGGAAAGCAGCATCAAGCGTATCAATCAAGGAGATACTTGCCAAAGATACACCTACAGAGCAGGAAACAAGACAAACCAAGAAGATCCTATACATTTGAAATATATTCTGAATATATTTGTAAACCCTAGAGATCCCTCGGTATAAATAATAAGAATTAGGCATTTTAACACTCATGTACATTCGCATATACTTAAATATAAACAATTTGCTCTACTATTATCTACGGAATTGCATCCCTACTGAACAAGGAGGCCTGTCCTTACTCAGTATTGTATCTCTAAACTCATCTTCTTTATGTAATTGAATATTTATTGCTTACTTATTGATTACTTATTGATTTATCATCGTTCTTAGTTGTTTTATATGCTATTGGTAGAATGATTGTTATTACCCCTCAAACCTAGCAAATTCTTAGATGTCCTTATTGAGATTTGCATAAATAATTTGGCGCCCACCGTGGGGCTGATAATCAATTAACCTACCAATTCGCCAAAAAACCAAGACAAACACCATGACCGGGCAACCAGTACCCTTTACCATTGCCAAAATTAATGAAGGAATGAACGCATTCCGCCAAACTTTAGACTAGTAGAAAAGCCAAATTGAAACACTGCTGGCTCAAAAAGTCCAAACTGAAGCCAAACTCACCAGTCTTACCAAACAAAATGAAGCCTTTTGCAGCCAAATACATTTAGTCGCATCTAAAACCGTTAACACCAGAAAGAGCACTGAAAATATAGCCATGCAGCTTGACATGTCCGAAACCTTTCACACCCCTAACGGGGAAAAAGGATCTAATAACAGGGAAGCAACCCTGGATCTAGACTTTTTGGATGCAGGAACCCCCAAAAAGAACAATCATGAAGGAGCCGAAGAGGGAAAAGTAGAGAAGATGGTCAAGGAATACCTCAAGGCAATCAAGGCCAAAATCGCAAAAATTCCTGGAATGCCGAAACCCATGGAAGAAGAGGCAGCAGATGGCTATATAGAATCTCCCTTCTCAGAAGAGATCACCATGGTAGAGGTGCCGAAGAGGTTCAGCACACCCAACATTACCATGTATGATGGAACAACAGACCCTGATGAGCATGTGTCCCTCTACAAACAAAAAATGATGACAAGCTCAATCCCTAGAGATATAAGGGAAGCTATCATGTGCAAAGGCTTTGGAGCCACGCTATCAGGTCGAGCTCTAACTTGGTTCATTAATTTAGATAATGGGACAATTCGATCTTTTGCAGGAATGGTGAACCTATTCAAGATCCAGTTTGCTAGCAGCAGAAAGATCGAGAAGCAATCTTCAGATCTATACCGTGTTGTGGAGAGACATGGTGAATCCTTGAGGGATTATCTTAACAGGTTCAACAGGGAAAAGATTGGGATACACAAGTGTGATGCTCCTACAACAATCAAAGCATTCAGAAGAGGACTACTAGACCATAGTGAGCTCTACAAGGAGTTGACCAAATATCCCTGTACAACCTTTGAAGATGTGCACGCCAAAGCTATGTCTCAAGTCAGATTTGAGGAAGATGCCTATGCAAGAAAGACTCCCGAACCAGATCGCCAGTCAAGAAGGAACAATAATTTTCCTAGAAGGGACCATCGATTCAAGCCGTATCAGCGTTCCCGCTTTGAGGAGGGATCAGTCAATGCTGTCGAAGAAGAATTTTCTAATTGGAGGGAAGATCCTGAACTCCCACCTAAGTTACATGAGTATTGCTTCAATGTTAATCCTGCAGGAGTAATTAGGACCCTAAATAAGATGGGAGATACTGTGCAATGGACCTGGAAGAGTGACAGGCCTGGAGAAAAGAAAGATCCATCCAGATGGTGTGATTTCCATTCAGATATCGGCCACACTACTGATGAATGTGTCGCGCTCAGAAAGGAAGTTGCATACCTGCTAAAAAAAGGCTACCTCAAAGAGATCCTGTCAGATAGATCTAAATGATTCAGGGAAAGAAAGAGAATCTAAGCAAGGAGGTCCTCCAATTGTCAAAACCATCTGTTTCATATCAGGAGGATCAAAAGTATGTGGTTTAACATACTCAGCAGCAAAGCGGCATGCAAAGGAGAGTAACAAGGATCAACCTGACAAGAAGGAGAAATCCAAGATAGACATTCCCATCATGTTTGAAGAAAGCGATGTAGTAGAAGGCCATCATGACGACCTAGTGATTTCACTCCCAGTTGGAAACTGCATGATCAAGAGAATCCTAGTTGACAATGGAAGCTCTGCAAACATCATCATGCTTGACACTCTGAAACATATGAACATAGACGAAAAGAACATCGTTAACAAGTCTACAATGTTAGTGGAGTTCAGTGGGGAAACCAAGAAGACAAGTGGAGAGATTACATTGGCCACATACGCAAAAGGAATCAACCTACAGGTCAAGTTCCTAGTGATTGACACTCTGTCTTCGTACAATATGATCTTAGGCAGACCCTGGATACATGAGATGAAGGCCATCCCCTCTACGTACCATCAAGTCATTAAGTTTCCTACCAGGTGGGGTATCTAAGAAATCAGAGGAGATCCTAGGGAAGCTAAGGAATGTTACAAGATCGCACTAAAAGCAACATCTGCAGAAAAGAGTTCAGCATAGCAATCAGAGGGTCAACTGGGCCAAGAAAAGGTGAGCATAGCATAAGAACAAGAAGCTACAGAAGTCCAGTTAAACCCCTAACATCCAGACCAAAAGGTCAGAATAGGATCAGAATTGAAGTCAGAACTCAGACAACAAATATATGACTTTTTAGAAGAGGAAAAAGACGCATTCGCTTGGACCCATGAAGACATGAAAGGCATCTCTCCAGATGTAATTACTCACAAGCTGAATGTAGATCCACTACATACACCACTAAAGCAGAAGAGAAGGAAATTTGCGCCAGAAAGGAACAAGATTATTAATGAGGAAATCCAAAACCTATTGAAGACTGGAAAGATTAGAGAAGTAAAGTACCCAGAATGGCTCGCTAATGTAGTAGTAGTCAGGAAGAAGAACGGAAAATGGCGAATCTGTATAGACTTCACAGATATCAACAAGGCATGCCCAAAGGATCCGTTCCCTCTACCTAATATTGATGCCATGGTAGACGCCACAGCAGGGCACGAGCTACTATCCTTCATGGACGCGTACAGTGGTTACAATCAAATCCTTATGCACAAGGATGACCAAGAGAAAATCGCTTTCATTACTAGTCAAGGAATATACTGCTACAAGGTAATGCCTTTTGGATTGAAGAAGGAAGGAGCAACATATCAAAGGTTGGTGAACAAGATGTTCGAAGAGCAAATAGGGAATACAATAGAGGTCTACATAGACGACATGGTAGTTAAGTCCAAAAAGGCAGAAGATCACGTCAGAGACCTTAGAGAAGCATTTGCCATCTTGAAGCAGTACGACATGAAGTTGAACCCCACAAAGTGCACATTTGGAGTACAGTCAGGAAAGTTCCTAGGATACATGGTTACGCAAAGAGGAATAGAAGCCAGCCCAGACCAAGTCAAAGTCATCCTAGACCTAGAGCGACCAAAGTCGAAGAAGGACGTACAAAGCTTAAAAGGGAAAATTGCGGCACTGAATAGGTTCATTTCAAAATCTTCAGACAAGAATAGAGCCTTTTACGAAGTACTGAAGAAGAATAAAGAATTCAAGTGGGAGCAGGAGCACGAAGAAGCATTTTAGAAGCTGAAAGAATATTTTGGCCAACCCGTTGGTTCTATCTAAGCCTAAAGAAGGAGAGCCACTCCAGCTGTACCTCGCAGTGTCTGAAGGGACGATCAGCGCAGTCCTCACAAGAGAAGAGGACAAGGAGCAATTCCCAATCTACTACGTAAGCAAGACCCTACTCAGTGCGGAAACGAGGTATGCACCATTAGAGAAGATCATTTTAGACTTAGTTACTGCTTCAGTAAAGTTACGCCCATACTTTGAAAGCCACTCCATACGAGTACGCACCAACTACCCCATCAAAGCTATCATGAGAAAGCCAGAAATGTCAGGAAAGATGGAGAAATGGGCCTTACATCTGAGCAGGTACAATATACAGTACGAGCCCAGGACTGCAATCAAATCACAAGCCTTGGCAGACTTCGTAGCAGACTTCAGCCCAACTCTTGAGGAAGAAGCACAAAAAGAAGTATTGGCACTATAGGAACCAAAAACTACACAGAAATGGATACTCCATACAGATGGCGCAGCAAACATACGTGGAGTGGGCCTAGGAGTAGTACTAACATCACCCCAAGGAGACAAGATAGCACAGGCAATAAGGTGCAACTTCAAGGCCACCAATAATGAAGCTGAGTACGAAGCGCTAATTATAGGATTAACAATTGCAAAGGACATGAAGATACAACATCTAGAGGTAATTTTAGACTCCTTACTCATGGTAAATCAAATCAATGGAGAATATGCAGCAAAGGATACCAGGATGATAACCTACCTGGAAATCACAAAGAAGCTCATTAAGGAGTTCAAGGAATTCAAGATAGATCAAGTACCCAGAAACTTGAACATTGAAGCAGACGCCCTAGCAAACTTGGGATCAAACATCAACCGAGAAGAATTTGGAGCTATTCCCCTAGTGCACGTACTCTCTCCAGCCATAGAAAGAGAATCGACTATGAGCGTCTATGAAGTTCAAGAAAACCCTACGGAGAAAGAAGGCAACAGCTGGATAACACCACTGAAAGAATACCTCTTGGGCATGACGAAACCAACAGGGAAAGTAGCAACTCAAGCACTTGCTCAAAAAGCCTCCAAGTACTGCCTAATCAGCAACGTACTCCTTAAGAAATCTGCAGCAGGCCCCTTCTTACGATGCCTAGAAGAAAAGGAAGCACAGCAAGTTTAACAGTCTTTACACAGTGGAGAATGCGGAAATCATTCTGGAGGAAGGAATTTAGCCAACACAGCACTTAGAATGGGATACTACTGGCCCAGCATGAGAAAGGACGCAGCAGAATTCGCCAAGAAGTGCCTAGCATGCCACAATCACGCACCCTTGACACACAAGCCATCAGAAGAGCTACATCCAACACTGACACCTTGGCCATTCATGAAGTGGGGAATGGATATAGTGAAACTACCTCCATCACCAGGACAAAGAGTATACTTCCTAGCAATGACAGACTACTTTTTAAAATGGATCAAAGCGGAATCATACAAGGAAATCAAGGATAAGCACGTCATATCGTTTATAAAAAGAAACATCCTAAGTAGATTCGGGGTACCAGCAGAGATCATTACAGACAATGGATCCCAGTTCATCAGCAATAAGACTACAAAGTTCTGTAAGAAATGGAACATCTCCCTCGTCACGTCTACACCTAGGTACCCACAAGAAAATGGATAGGCAGAGTCAAGCAATAAAGTCCTTATAGGTAACATGAAGAAAAGGCTGGAAGGAGCAAAAGGGAAATGGGCAGACGAACTACCCAACATACTATGGGCAGACAGAACAACTCCAAAAGGCGCTACAGGCCACACCCCATTCTCGTTGGTGTACGGATGTGAAGCAGTGATCCCAACAGAGGTAGAGGTCCCCACAGCAAGGTACAGGTTAACTCACAACCTAGACACAGTGGAAGAACTTAGAGAAGACGCAAAAATGAGAATGGCAGCATATCAGCAAGAAGTAGTAAAATCCTTCAACAAGAATGTCAGAACAAAAGTCTTCAAGCTAGGAGATTGGGTTCTCAGAAAGGTAAACGAAAATACCAGGGAAGTAAACGCAGGGAAATTAGCACCCAACTGGGAAGGAACTTACGAGATCATTAAGGTGGTAGACAATGGAGCCTACAGACTCAGAAATGCAGAAGGAAAAGAGGTACAACGAAGCTGGAATGCAGAGCACTTAAAGCTATATCATTTCTGAAGAGCGAAGGTACGTAATTACCATTTCAATTTTGTCTCTTTTTACAAAAAAAAAAAAAAAAAAAAAAAAAAAAAAAAAAAAAAAAAGAAAAACAAGCAAAAAACCAAAAAAAAAAAAGAAAAAAGAAGAAAAACAAAAAAACGCAAAAATCTCCAACAGTCAAAATCAGCACGAAAGGTACTCCTCTCTACTCACACTTTGTCAATTCAATTTATGATCATTACGAGTACTGAATTTGGCATCGGAGGGCCGTTGGGGAAACCCACGGCCACCCCTCACATTATTCTGTTTTGCAAGGAACAACACCTAAACTACTAGGCAAGAGCGCAACAGGTCATCACAAGAGCAAGAGTTAGTCATCCCTGCAAGGAACAAACCAACAAGCAAACACATGTAAGCAACACTACGCGCATACATTCATATTACAACTGTAATACAACTGTAATACGATTGTAATACAACAAGGATACAGTACGAAACATATATACAGATCAACATAGCAAAAGAGGCAGAATTACTTAGTTACAAAGCAACAAAACAGACAAATTATCCAACTACAAAAGTGTAGCACAAAGACAAAATAAAATTATCCAACTGCACTAAGGCAGTAAAAACAAACATCCTTCAAAGTTAACAATTTTTTTTAAAGGTGACACAGCACCATTGAAACTAATTCTCGTCCATGTCATCAGTAGGGACCACTTCCTCAGCAACAAACTTCGTACTCTCCGGGACATCCCTAACCTCGGCGTAATGAGGAGAATTCACTTCCTCATCAGCATAGCTCAGCAACAATGTGCCAAAAGCAGCAGTCCCTGCAGGAAACGCAATCTCATAGGCGGCCTTATCAGCATCATAATCCCAGGCCTCATGCTTTCCTTGCTAAAACTCCTCCATCATTTAAAGACGAGCCTTCCCAAAGTAATACGCTGCAGCATCAACAACCTTGTTTCCAGCCTCCTTCAAGGTTCTCTTCATCCCATCACGTTTAGTAATGCATTCTCTATGCCTAGCACGTTCAGCCTTCAGAGCATCAGTAGCAGCCTTGTACCTGTCAGAAAGGGCATCATGCTCCTTCTTCACAGCCTCATACACCCGAGTAAACTCTGACACTTTGCTCAGTATGCCCAAACAAGACTGAAGGCTCTGCAGAATACGGAATCAAGTAAGAAATGCGCAACCCGATATAATCATGTTTATTAAATTTTTGTTTTTTTTTCGGAGTATACCATATCTGGAAAGACTGCACAGCAGCCTCTTAAAAAAGGTCAGCAAAAGTCTGCGAGGACTGGAGATCCTTGAAGGACGGAAACAGTAGGGTATCCACATGCGGAGCCAAGGAATCAAAAGAGATATCAGCACATCAACATCAATAGGCACCTCCAACTTCCTCTTAAGGCCAGTACGAGGTGGAGGTGGAGGAGGACCGCTCTTTGGAGCAACCGTTTTGAGAGGAACGGCCTCCGTAGTTTGAGGAGAGGAGCGATGTTTAAGGCGACCTAAGAGAGAGGACGAGCTAAGAAGGTCATGAGACCTTAGTGACCTCGAAGTATCTACAAGGAGCATGGCAGAATTCAAAAGGGAATACAGCAAGGAACATAACAAACATATTCAGCAAGGAACACAACAAACATACTCA